CTGTACAAAGATCATGCTGCATTTTATAACATTTGGGTCTTATGTGACCAGTTACACCACAGTAATGACAGTTAGGAACAAAGTTATGGTGAGTTTTATTAACAGATTTCTGCATAGGAGAATGAACCTTTAAGGGAGATTTTGGAGATAGAGGTTTACTTACAGTGCTTTTTACAAACCTGTCAAACACGTTTCTGGAAGGTCTCCCATGCAGGTTCACACCTCCAATTCTATGTTTGTGCCCAGATCCAAGGCCAGCATGTCGTGTACTTGAAGTCCCGATTGAGGATTCTGGATAATCCTCCTTTCTCGTGTACCCTATTCCAGTAAGATCACCATGTTGTTTCCCCAATGAGAGAAGTTCATTCAGATCTGCTTTTCCCTTGTTTAGTTTTTGAACGACTTCTGCAGTTCGGTCCAACTCAGCAAAATTTGCCTTCAGTTTGCTTTCCATGCTAGCATGTTCATTCATCAGCCGATCAGCTTCATTTTTCAGTAGCACGATTTCCTGGTTCCGCTCCGCAAGAAGTTTCTGAGTAGAGAATAATTCGGTCCTCAAGCATTCAATGGTCTGAGCCTTCTCTAGTCCGTCTTGTTTAGAAAGTTCGACACTGCTATCAAGGATGCAAGTTCGAGCCTTTGCAGTATCAAGTTCACACTCTTTAGTAGCAGTGGAAGCGGATGCTTGTTCGTTCAACACTCTGTTTTCTCTTGAAAGTCTAAACACTTCATTTTGAAGCTTCTGTAGAGCTTCAGATGCTTGAGCACACTTTTCCATAGCAAGTAAGTGAACTGGATCTACACACACATGTTGATCTGCTTCATCTTCAGATGCTTCAGTTTCTTTTAAACTTTCTTCAAACTTGGTCAGAGCATGAGAGGTGGTAAGACACATGAACTTCTTGACTGAGGTATGAACTGCTAAGTTGCTGGTGTGCAAAGAAGGTTCGTCTGTGCCTTCTTCATCTGAATCTTCCCAGGTCGCCTTCAGTGACTTACTTCTTCTTAAGATTAGCACACTCATACTAGAAGTGTCCAAAGCCTCGACACTCCCTGCATTGATCCTTCTCAACTCGTTGTGAATTTGGATTTTGAGAGTGGCATACTACTTTTCTTGTCCTGCACCACATTCTTGCTGAAATTGTTTCCCTTTTTTCCAGCAAATTTGTTCTTGTACAACCTTTGACTTATCTTCCCATAGTTTCGCGCGATTAGAGCTAGTGCTTCTTTCAGCTCACTATCATCTGCCAACGGACCTTCATCGTCATCGCTTTCTTCTTTTTCCTCGACTACTGCAGCTTTGAGAGCTAAGCCCTTACTTTTGACATTGTCATAATTGTTGTTGATTTCAAAAGTCCTAAGCTCTCCAAGAAGTTCATCAACATCCAACGATGCCACTCTTTGGAAACTTTCAAGCGCTGTGATTTTATCTCTAAACCTGGGAACGACGGTTCTCATAATTTTTTGTACTTGCCGTTTCTCAGAGATTTCTTCTCTAAGAATCATACTTTGATTCACCAGATCACAGAATCTGGCATAGTATACGCCAATTGTCTCTTCATCCCTCATTTTGATCTCATCAAATTCAAGAGTTACACGTTGAAGTCTAGATGCTTTGACAGCTGTTGAACCTTCGAATTGACGTTGTAGAACCCACCAGGCATCTTTCACAGTCTTACTATGAACTATCATCTTGTGTCTTGTTTGATCTACTGCCATCATGATCGCATACAAGGCACGATAGTTGGCTTCTTCTTGAAGCTTTTCAGCATCTGTCCAATTGTCCTTAGGTTTAGGAACCGTGACTTTCGTTGATTATCAGGTGCTTGTTGCATGACTGGATGCTCCCAGCCGTTTTCAACACTTTTCCACACACCTTTTCCAAGCGATCTCAGAAAATTGTCATCATAGACTTCCAATACGTGTAGCTCAAACCGTCCAATTGGGGAGGCCTGGACATCGATCTGCTTTATTGATTCATGATCTGAAGGTAACACACGTCCTAGGATCTTCCGTAATGAAGACAAAAACCCGCTCTGGTGCCAATTGTAATTTGATACTTGAACACCAAGTATCCAGAGTTTCACGTAGATAGAACAAACAGACATTAATGAAGATTCAAACAATGGCGGAAGCAGTTTTCACTAAAAATTGAACCTTCAGGAGAGCGTCTCACTCTTCCTTCAGATCTCTTTCATTAATGTGAACAACTCATACATCATCCAAGGATTTACAGTATAGACTCCCTCTACACTCTACTTAAATGATGATTCACACAACTACTTATCCGACCACAACTCCCTTGTGGATTTTTCTAGTTCGAATCCGTCAAACTAAACCAGAATGAACCTCCGAACATTCTGTTACAAAAACTTATGTGTTCTGCTTATCACTCAAGAAAAGAAAATTATAAAACTAAAAAATCCCAGATCAAAAGTCATCCTCAACTCTGGTCTCGTCTTCCTTTATCTTCAGCATCATTTGGTAAGTTTTTGCGCCCAAGTCATAAACACATATGGAAGGTAAATTCCACGATCTTCTTCTTCTTGAATTATGGAAAGTGAATCTTCCCCTTTAATCTTGTCGACCTGCAAGAATAAAACAAATAATCAGTCAATTTCACTTAAATAAAAACAGGACTCATTTATACCAAAACTAAACTTCCCTTAAATACTCCCGTAAATTTCTGGACTCTGTGAACATCAGAGGGTTCATCGATTTACTGCCAATCTTTAGCACTTACACTTCGGGATTCTATGTGACAAGTTTTAAGTCTTGTTGTTTGACTTGGATAAATTTTAATTTATTTTCAATTAAAAATTAACTAGGCTAGGAATATAAATATAATAGATAGTTATGGTCCCTTTTAAAAGCATTAATAATGTTTCAAAACTATTCCTATTGTGGACTTGATTTATATGATATGTTTTTTTTTTTCAATCTTTCTCTTAAAAATGTTAACAAAATTACAAACTTAAGTCACAAATATATTTAAAAGTTAATAAATTTATTATTTATTAACAAATTTATATACAATAAATCAAATTAATCATGTCTTGATGAGTTTCGATTTGACATCTATATTATACATACAAAATAATAAATTAATTTACCTTTATAATTAAAATTAAATTGCTCATAAATATTAATTTAAAAAAATAAAAATAGTAAAATTGACTTAACTGCAAAGTAGTTACCTTATATAAATTAGGCTTAATTGCAAATAAAACCACGACCTTTAAGCTTTTTGCAATTTAATCTCAACTTTAAGGTAATTGCAAATCAATCGCAACCTTTTTTAATTTTGGCAACCCGAACCCAAAGTTGATCGGCAACGAGCTCCGTGCCTACGTGTCCGAGCAGATAATCTCACGTGTCCTCAGACACCGCTGACGAGGATGCCACACTGTCACACACACACAAATAAAAAAGCATTTAAGGAGCCTTATTCATTTCTTCCCCAAATTAAACCCTAATCGCCCAATTCACGAGTTCCTCGCCCAATTGCCGACTGATGAGCGAAATCTATTGTGATCTTCTCAGTTGCACGACAGATCAAAAAAATCTTTAATAAATATTTTAAACTAAAAAACTCAAACTACATACTGGTGTATGATATTGTGAAAGCAAGTTACAGTCGGAAAATCTGGTTTTGTTCAGCATGAAAAGGTTCTAAAATGGCGTGTAGGCTTGCTTTGAGAACCGTTTGCTTGATCGAGCCATGGCTGCCTATGTCTTCTGTTAACAGACAATCATCCATTTTTTCACCAATTGTATCAACCCGCCGTAAATTTGCATCACCAAATTCAAATTGCGATTGTAAAACTGCAATAGTGGCAAAACGCTGCCATTTCTCAAAGAACTGCTCAAATGACGTGAACTCGTCTTTACCTGGTGCTAATTCGGAGCAAGGCCCTCCCTAAAAAGCCGTTTTGAAGGTTATATCAGGTGCATAGTCGGAAATTGGGAGAGGAGCTCGTGAATTAGGGGATTAGGGTTTAATTTCGGGAAAAAATGAATAAGGCTCCTTAAATGTTTTTTTTATTTGTATGTGTGTGTGACAGTGTGGCATCCTCGTCAGCGATATCTGAGGACACGTGAGATTGTATAACCGGACACGTAGGCACGGAGCTCGCTGCCGATCAACTTTGGGTTCAGGTTGCCAAAATTAAAAAAGGTTGCGATTTATTTGCAATTACCTTAAAGTTGAGATTAAATTGCAAAAAACTTAAAGGTTGTGGTTTTATTTGCAATTAAGCCTATAAATTAAAAAAATTATAATATAAGATGATATATCGTATAAGTGACGGTGTCATTTTAAATATATATATATATACACAGTAAAATATTTAAAAAATAAAACATTTTTGTTGTTATTATTATTTAGAAATATAATTTTCTTAACAAGTACTCGTGCAGTACACGGATGTTGTACTAGTTTTCTATTAAAACACAAATGAAACACCTCGTCACTTAATAAAATTGACGAAAATAAACAAAAAATATATATCAAACTAAGATAAATTGACACGAAAATCACTGTAAATGCATGTAAAAATGACGCATGTCATCGGCTCATTTAATAAACTTCGTAGACTGAAACCCAAAACTCTTACCGAGTTGATTCCTGACACTCTCGACTCGACTTATTTGATAGAAAAACTCAATTAGCTGTTGATCTGAACTCGTGCAAATATACAAGCTAGTCGAGCTTGAAGTTTCACATGTCAAACAAAACTTTGTAACGAGACAACTCAATTCAAATATCACCCGTACATTTTGCAGCCCAGGTGAAAATAATTATACATTTTACTATGTATAATTTTATTATTTTTTTACTTTACAAGAAGAGCAATGTAAAAGCCGCGTAAGTAAAACTTAGAAATTTGCAATGTAACGCTAACCATAAATGCTCCCAACTCAGAACTTCATCCCCACCAAATGCTCCTTCCCACAACAAATGCTTCTCAACAACAATCAATTTTCTGACCTAATGAGACATGGGCCGGACCACTAAGTGGTTTCGCTCGCTTTGGAGCTTCAAAACCTCGCCGGAGTCCTCGGCGGCTGCGAAGGGTAAGAAGAAGAAGAAGAGCAAGTGGGCCCTCCCGAGCACCGGCGATAATCCCGGCAAGCTGACCAATCGCCCTGAGGACCCATTGGCGAGTCCATACGTCGAGGGAATCGATGCCAACAAGCACGCGATAGCCGTGGCGGCGGCGACCGCGGCGGTGGCCGAGGCTGCTCTGGCGGCGGCGCATGCGGCGGCGGAGGTGGTCAGGCTGACCAGCGGTGGCCGGAGCGGGAGGGGCGAACTGGGAGACCGGCGGCTAGTGAAGGCCACCGTCAAGATTCAGTCTGCTTTTCGAGCTTATTTGGTTCGTTTTTTCCGTTTATGTTATAATTTTTTCACTTTCTTCTCTTGATCTAGTTTTAATTTGAAATTTAAAATAGTATCTTGGAAACAATTTTTTTATTTGAAATAATTGTTTATTTTTGACTGAAAGTATTGAGCATAGAGTACTTAATTTTTTTTTCACGTCAATGCCGTCATCTTACTATTTGTCATAGTCAAAATATAGATGTGCACAACGATAAATTAACGACATTATTACCTTGATCTGATTATCTATTAATTTAAAAAGAGTTGCTCATTAGGAGCCCCTTCAGATCTGGATTCTCTTCGAGGGATATCCGGACGTCACCGGCCGGAGTATACATCGACGCTGGAAGTCGCCGGCCGGAGTGGCTGCCGGAACAGAGGGGTGGTAGGGTAGAAGATGACATTTTGAGATTAGGACCTTTTTTTTAGAATTAGATAAACTCAGAGGACTTGATTGCAATTTAATAAATTTTATTTTATTTCAATTTGATACATGTGCCAAATATGTAATTTTATCGAAAATTCAATAAATGAACAATCAAAGAATTTTTTTTTTTTTTTTTCCTTTCTTCTTTTTGGCTAATGAAAGTTTTCTTCTTTTGCTCTATACATTAACATAACATATTATAGAGTTCATATGTCAGCTCTGTATTAATTTTGAAAAATATAAGATCAGCAATAAAAAAAAAAAAAATGATTCATGGGCTACATAAATTGATTACAGGAAAAGTTTGGCAGCCTTAAAAGATTAGAACTTTTATCATTTGGGATGATGGGATCCCATGTTTTCTTTTACTTGGATTACATGGTGAAAACCTTTTCCTTGATTATCCATTTGCAAATTTCCAGTGTGTGGAGATGTGTGTTATTCTTGCAGTGTTATTAATGGTGGATGGCGGTACATGGCGTTCTGCCAAAATTCCGCAATTGCGGTTGCCATGGTGGCCGCCGTGGCGGTCTATGGCGCCGCCATGACTTCACAAATTTTGCATGGCGGATTGTCAAAAATCCGCCACGCCATACCCCCATGGCGCCGCCATGGCCGCCATTTGATAACACTGTATTCTTGTCACTTGTTTTTGATCTCACACATGGAGAAAATACATGTCCTTAATATACATCTCACAATCACAGATAGCGATCCATTTGTCATCTTAACAGGTTTTTGTTCTATTTTTCTGGGTTGTAAAGGATATATTCTTTTCTTCGAGCGTTTTTAACCTGTAGATACCCTCTTTTAGTCTTTTATTATGATTTATTAGTGTTAAGTGGTATGTAAAGTTAAAGGAACTTTAATGAGCTTGGTGGATGGTAAAGTTTGTACATGTGTTTTGTTTATCAACAGAGGGTATTGTTAGATTGTTGGTTACAAAAGGGAATGCCTTTTATGTATTGTCTAGTCTTGTTACAAAGGGATCCAGCTATGTTCTAAAATTACAAATACACCCCCCGATTACGGTTTAAGAAAATCAACCTTCTAATTCTAAGGGGTCTTTCTTTATAAATACTAACTTCTTGGTGTTGTTTGTCATAAGCTTAATGGGAATTTTGGAACGTTGAATGGTATACTACATTATTTTGTAACTATACTACACTAAACCATGTGAATAGCTATAGTATAGGTTAGTGGGAAGATTGCCTTCAAAGGAAGAACTTAAGATGTTTAGTTATCTTAAGGATCCAAAGTTTCTTCAGATAAGATTTAGAATTTTTTCACAGTGTATTTTCCTCGGTTCTGCATTTTTCCCTTTTTTTTTTTAGAATTATTTCTATGGACGTTCTTAGTTTAAAGCTTTCAATGTGGTATGCATTACTTTGAAATATGACAATCTATAATGATCAAAATAAGAAAAACAAGGAAATAGTAGAGAAAAAAACATGGCCTTTACTCTTTGGAGTAAGCACCATATACATAAATCACATGTGAGGTTGGTCTGTTTTTAACCGATTCAACTTATTTTTCTTGTCTTGCAAGGTCTGCAGAAGATGTTTTCTTTTTCCATATATAGTAGTGTGCCTCTTAACACAATGGAAATTATAAACTCGTGACTGTGTTTGATAATTATTACCATTTCATGTTGGAGCTATAACTGGCATATCCATTACGTGTTTCTTTATTTTCTCTTTCTCTATCTCTTTCATAACCAAGTTCGCTATCCCTTAAAGTAATGACAATTTATATTTCCATGTTGAATTTTGTGAGTGAGTTGACAAAAGGTATATATGATGCATTTGATGTTGTATGTAGGCAAGGAGGGCATTGAGGGCCCTTAAGGGACTGGTTAAGCTTCAAGCCCTTGTGAGGGGCCACATTGTACGAAAACAAAGTGCGGACATGCTGCGGCGTATGCAGGCCATGGCCCGAATCCAGGCCCGGGCCTCTGCACATCGTTCTTACACATCAGAATTCCACTATGCACAATCTGGCTTATCCAATTCCCATCATCCTGTGAGTGCATATGCGTTTCTTTGTTTTCCCCTAATTTTCTGATTTGAATGTCATTTTCTTGAGAATATCGGAGTTCATCATATGCGTAAACTAACATTGATTTCTCTTGTCAACTAATTTGAAGGGTTTCGCAAATCCCAGAAAATATGAAGAGAGGTCTAGTAGTGTAAAAAGTGGTGGATCTGTTCATAAGGTAACTTTTCTCATATGGTCTATTGCAAAGATCTTCCATGATATGCAGTGGGCAAGATCGATTTTTGAAAGAAATTAGATTACATAATCAACTATAGGTAACAATGAAACGTAGCAAGAAGATCATGATATTTAATGTCAATTATATTTGATTGTAAACCCTCTGATCGACAGTGTTATCTGTTAATCAAATATAGTTGTCAAAATATATTTGTTGTTTGGAATAATTATAAAACCACCCTTGGCATTAAAAATAAGTAAATACATAAATAATAAAAAAAATTCAAAAGTTTTGAAATTCACAGACCAACGGTTTGGATCGAACTTCTGTTGTTCTCTTCATGAGGACAAGTATATCAGAACCAAATCTCCGCAACCCATTATGTAAATGTTGTAGTTGTCACTTTGAATTCAACTCAGAATCATTTTTTTTTTTTTTTTCTTGTAATTGCTCCGAACCTCGGCGTTAATTTTTCGAAAATATCCCTTGTTATTATGTTTGATTGATGTTCGTTTGTTTTTTACTTGTATATAGTTTGGCTAAAACAACTAACACATTGTGTCGATTGACCTATTCGTCTTGCACTAGCAAAAAATGAAACCAAATCGCCCAATTATAAGATTTATCTGCTTAGTGTTACAAGACATTTATAATTGTCCTAAACTTTTGCAGACAAATCACTCAAGATCACACACTGGCATGACTATCAACAATGAGAGCACTCAAATCACGTCCCGATGGCTAAGCCATTGGATGGAACAATGCGCATGGGACCAAAGGAACCCCCACGCACCCTCCCCCGATAAGATTCTCGAAGTCGACACGTGGAATCCCGGCCAGAAGAGAACCCAAAATGACGAAAGACCCAACACCTCCCACTATTTCTCTGCATGGAACGATACGTACAAACCGAACCCTATTGCTTCCCCCGAGAACACCTCCTCGTCCAATGGTGGGGACCACCATAAGGTAGTGGGTGACAGCCCAAAGGTGCGCTCGGCTTCTAGAAGCTTGTTTGGGGATTACCCAAGCTACATGGCCAACACTCAGTGTTTCCAGGCTAAGCTCAGGTCTCGCAGCGCGCCAAAGCAGAGGGTGCAACTAAATTCCTCGTATGGGCGTGAGATGTGGGAGTGTTCGGACACGGTCTCCGAGAGGGGTTCTTTCTCGGTTATGGGGCCCAGGGGAGGTGGTTATCGGTACTCAGGTCAGGTGAGGAGGCATGGAACTCCTCTGCGGGAGGCAGGTGGGGCCGGGATTGGATCTGTCCATGGCCGTAGGATCTAGGAGATGGCCTTGTTTTCGTGTGCGGTTGTATAAATTGCCCATTCGGTATTTGTTTTTTTGGTTGGTTTTGTGTGTCAGTGTGTGTGTGTGTTCTGTTTGGCGATGGAATGTGTGGGAGAATGCTTGAAGGTAAGTTGATGAGTAGCCTTAGTAAATGATTTTGTGTGTATGTTTATGGGAAATTCTCAACGCATAATAATCAAATGTTTGTAAATTGAGCTGTGTTGTTGTTGTTATTATTATTATTATTATTATTATTATTATTATTATTATTTTTTTTTTTTTTTCGTTTTTGAAGTGTTCAATTTTATGCCCATGAGAATGTTTTTATATGAGATGTAAACTATTATTAGTATGTCTGATGAATGGATCTAAAATACTTTAGTGGAAGCAGGTCGAATCCTAACCAAGATCTCCAATAATTAAATTTTTCACAAATAGTGTGAATTGGAGCCCCACCATAACTATCCTCACTAGCTGATTTATCCCAAATGGTTTACGACGACGGGGACACCTCACACCAGTCACCAACATAATCCATTTTTACGCAACGACTTCAATTATTATGACTTCACGGGTTGCCTTTTCATCTTTTGTCAAATTACCAGATTTTGTCCAAACACAATTTTTTTTTTTTTTTTTTTCTTATCTCAGATTATGGAGCCATCAGATGACTCCTATATGGAGCCGATCCATAAGGCGAGCAATTAGAAATTCATTTGTAAATGACAATAGATGACTCTATAAGCCGAGCAATCCGACGGTTCCATAGCAAAAATTCAATTTCCCTCCATTTTTTGTTACAAAATGCAATCATTAATATTTTTTTTTTCTTCCACATTAATACACCCTATTAAGTGTAATCATATATTTTTTGTCATAATATAGTATAATAGGTAATTCTAATACTAATTATATGATTCACACTAAATACAAAATTACATAAGTATAAATAAGCCTATTGCAATTTTTTTCTTCAAACTATTTATTCTAAAATCAATATTATGTTTTTTTATTATTATTTTGTATGTCATGAAACAATTTCCTTTAAAAAAAATTAGCAAAATAGTTTTAATAGCATAGTCAATTCACTTTAAAATCTTATAAACAATTGTTGTTATAATAATAATAATAATAATAATAATAATAATAATAATAATAATAATAATAATAATAATAATAATAATAATACAATATAGTGATTCATATATACTTAAATAATTTATATTTATTTATTCTATATCTAAAATTTTAGTGTTAAATTCACCTATATTACGTATAACATATTTTATGTACATCATTACATATGCACGGGACGTATAATATATTTTATGTACATCATTGCATATGCACGAGACGATTACTAGTTACACATAAAGATTTTTGTTTGCATTTATTAATAATAACTTTCAAAAACCTTTTTTGATTGAAGAATTTATCTTTGGCAACAAGTTCAAAAATAATATATTGTAGACGTGTTCATGCAAGCATAAGGAATAGAAAGGGAGTTCCTTTATTTATATTCAAATTTATATATAATTCGGTTATGTATATATTTTGTTATATATATTTAGGAAATATCTGCATGATCTTATTGTGTTATTTATTGTAGGATTTTGGTCGTGCATGGACTCTGAAAGGATATGCATGAAGAAAAGAATATCGAAGAAAGAGAAGAAAAGATCCACTCAGCATGTCTCAACCACAATATTAGGAAGGAAATCGAAAAGAGAATGCATCTTGCTTGGAGAAAACTTCACGCCTAAGGAGTCTTTAAATACCTTACTTGAAGGTCAATTGAGGGCTGCTGAGATTATCATCATTCACATATTATTCCCAGCGTTCAATTGAGTGTTCAAGTTTGTTCCTTATTTCAGTTTACAGTTCAAAGATTCGATGTTCTTTTAATGTCGAAGAACTGAACCCGTTTTATTTTAGTTTTTCATATTTTATTTAAACACTTTGTTTCTAGTGTTTAGGGATTAAGTATTGTGTTTTGCTTGAGGGATTCGAGAGTGTGAAGTCCACGGGACGTGGCCAGAGAAGTAGTTGGTAGAATCGAGTGTAGTTGTGGCTAGGCTAGCAGGGAGTTCGGGTTTGTAAGTCCAAACTATGCACATGTGCACAATTGATTTATCAATGAAAGACCTCTGAGAGGTAGTGGGATGCTCCCCGAAGAGTATATATCTCTTACTTTGTGCTTCCGCTATTTTTGACAAATTCTGGTGTTACAACATAAAATTAAAAGTTACAGATAATTCGTGTTCTGACACAGTTGAGCGCACTCTACGGGTAATACCTACGTTTGCACCATAGCAGTGTTTCTGTTCTAATCACAAGATAAAGATATTTGGGCCTTTGGGTTGGTCACCATGAACCACGACGGCATGTAAGTTTTGCGCCCTTCATACCTTGATGGATCGAATTATAGATACTGAAAATCCATGATGACAATCCTTCACTCTCTAGGAAAAGGAACCTGACAAGTCATTAAGTCAGGATGGTCTATACCTCTCATGCAGAAAGCTCCTTCTGAATCCAAGATAGGTGAGTCCTCAGAATCAAAATCATCAACCTCAGTTGCTCTTATTCGAGTCGAGAAACCAAGAGATCTCTGGACTGATGCGGAAAGACAAGAAGAATAAGCTAATTTTCGAGCATTATATGCAATCATGTCTGCTGCAGATTTAACTCGCCCTAAGATGATCATTCAGTGTACAACGGCTTGCGAGGCTTGGAAAATTCTTGAGAGACAGTTTGAAGGTACGAACGCGTAAAGTTATCAAAGCTACAGAGAATCACCACGGAGCTAGATGAAATCTGGATGAGAGACGACGAGACCATAGATATGTACTGTGTTGGTTTCTGTGATCTTGTAAACCAAATTTCAATGCTTGGAGAAGAGATCTCAGAGGCTAGACAAGTGCAAAAATTGATGAGAAATCTACCAGAAAGGTTTGACATAAAAATCACGGCTTGGGAAAGTTTCATGAGAGTTCAGCCACTTGGGATTGATGACTTTCTTGGAAATCTACGTACTTCTGTGATAAATCAAGGCTTTTATTCAATAAAAGGAGAAAACGGAAAAGACCTAGCACTAAAGGCCAAGGTTCGTACACTGCTGTTAGAGTAAGAAGGAGACTCGGATGAAGAAACCCATGATGCTGAAGGAATTACGAAGGCACTCACTGTTCTTACCACAAACTTCTAAATGTTGGAGAAATTTCAAAAGAAGAGGTTTCAAGGGAACAAGTTCTCCGAAGGAAGAAAGAACACTTCTCAACAACCTGGTGAACGACGTGTTGAAAAGGATCAATGCCGGGAATGCAAAGGGTTCGGTCACTTTCAGAAGGAATGCCCAAATTTTAAGAGAAAGAACAAGATCCATGAAGCAACATGGTCAGATTGTAGTGATGATGAAGATGATGAGCCTGAGAAGGCTGAGGGATCCCAATACATTAACAACTTTGCCAAGTGTCCTCTCAATGAGTACAAGTTCTATACACCCTTTGTTCATCTCACTGATGTTGAGTCATAAGGAGGTTCTTACTTTCATCCTTGAGTGATTCTGGACTTAAGGATTTTTCAGATCAAACTAAGGAGAATCTTGTTCTTCACAAGTATGCCATATAGAAGTGTCTCAAGATTATCAAAGTCATCAACAAGTACCAGGCCCAGACAGAAAAGCTGAAGCAGTTGGAACACCAATCAAAACAGCGTGAAAAAGAGTTCAACTATCTCAAGAATGTACTTCAGAAAATGCGCTCGATGACCGTTGAACTCAATGAAAAGCTCATAAATTCTGACATACACCTTGGGAAGCAAACCCATGATCTCAACAGCTGCTTTCCCAAAATATCAATGATGGAACACAATGATAAACTGAGAAAACATGTAAGTGATGAAAAGAATTTTAACATTGAATCCTTGCGCAATGAGTTGTTTGTTGTGCAGAATCTTGTAGGAGAAAGGGAAACTGAGATCGTCGCCCTAAAAAGTGAGCTTGGTCAAGTGATGGAAGAACATGTGTTGCTTCAAGATCACCATTCTATCAGCATGAAGAAACTCAGGAAAAGTGATGAAGTCATTAAAATGATTAATAAGTTGAAATCCTTATTGCTGAAGTTCAAAATTTGAGTCAACAGATAGAGACCTCAGACCAGTGTAAGAACACTCGCAATCAGAAGTTGAAAGGTAAGATCGGGGAACCAAACCCCTCTTTGAGTAAGTCTAATCTGATATTCGTTAAAGAAGGTCTCAGTATCATGGAAAGAATGGTATGTCTAACTCTACTTGAACTATGCAAAAGAATTTTGTACCTACTTTTCACTATTGTGAAATTCCTGGTCATATTCGTCCTAAGTGCTATAGAATGCATAACGATATCTATAAAGGTAAAATTGATGAATGGAGTCCACATGGTGTGTCATTGAAAGTGCCAAAACTAAATGTTGATGTGATTAATCATGAATAGAAAAAGATTTGGGTACCTAAGGGAGTAAGAAAGCAAAAATTCAATTTTGGTTCTCTAAGTTGGTCATTGTCCAGTTTTTGGTACACCAACTTTCCCATCATAAAAAATAGTCCACTATGTTACAATTTTTGTCAAATTTAGTACAGTATCCCGAGGGCTGGATTACGTGATGACATGGAAAATTGTAATCTTTCCATGTCAAAGTCTTATCCATCCATGTCGTTTCAATCCTTATCCACGTCATCACGTAATCTGGTCCCTTGGGATTATTGTACTAAAATTGATGAAATTGCAACATAATGGATTATTTTTTATGAAAGAAAAGTTAGCGTACCAAAACTGGACAATGCTCAACTTAGAGGACTAAAATTTAATTTTTGCCAGAGTAAGAACATGTGTCTGTCTTCTATACTTCCCTTTAAATCTACTTCTAATTCTGACTTGTAGTTTGATAGTAGGTGTTCACATCATATGACCGGCCTTATCTAACTTGATCAATATTTTTCCTGTGTCATGTAGTTCTGTA